ATTTTTTTTCTTGTTTTAACTTTTAAATAATGAAGTATTATGTCTTACCTTGAAACGTTTTTCAAATTTTTCGAATTGGAATCGTAGCAACGAAAATATGATTTTTTTTTCAAAAGAGTACATTTAAGGCTTTTTTGTAGGCAATTTAACATCCGGAAATTGTTTTCGAATTTTGATTCTTAGTGATTTTGGTTTTATGTGAAACTGAGACTGAGTGTATTGCCTACCAAAAGCCTTAAATGTACTCTTTTGAAAAAAAAAATCATATTTTCTTTGCTAAGATTCTAATACGAAAAAATTGAAAATCTTTTCAAGGTAAGACATAAAACTTCATTATTTCAAAGTAAAAACGAGAACAAAATTATTTTTTTACAAACGGGGCTTGGATGAAGTTATGGAAATTTTTAACCTTTTTACATATCACCCTGTACGAAATTTACTTAAAGAACTGTGAGCTTCATATCTATAGCCAGAGGATGGGGCTAGCAGAAATCACAGACCAAAATAAAATCGTTCAAGAAACAAATAAGTTATGTCGTTTTGAAAAAGAACGAACTTTTTGGTCGCGACACATTGAGTGGTGTGCAGTTTATATATAGTATATTTATATACACACCTTTTTATACTTTTTATTCTTTATCCACCACTGACCTTTCATGTAATTTATTGATGAATAAATATTATTAATAATAATAATATTATTATTATTATGATTATTATTATTATATTATTGTGTGAGAGTGATCAGCGGACATTTTCAACAGTTAATAAGATGATACGTACTAAGTACTAATCAATAAAATTAAATTCAATTTCTCGGCAACCCGCACCAAAAATTTAAATAATGAAGCGCCATTTGAAAGACAATTTAATGCCCTTTCAAAAGATGTACCACAACAAACCCCTTCCCAGGGGTAGGAACAAACCGCAGGCTTAAATTCTTAAATTTTGAGAAAAATTTAAATTGGAAATTAACCATAGACAATATGTAGAAAACTGGGGGTTTGAAATAAAGCAAATACTTTTATTAAAAATGAAATTTTCTGAGAAAAAAAAAAATATTTTGTTTTCCTCTTTGTTACCCCGTCCGTAAATATATATACTGTAGAAAACAAACTACATACCATACTTTATCTACGACGGACGCAGAGTAATAGTTTTCAGAACTTAAATTAAATTAAATTTAATTTGATATTTCATCTAAAATCTAACAACTGTTAAGCGGTTTTACCTCACTTTTTATCCATATGGCATAGGTCAGATGGGTTTAACCTCACTTTTTCGTAATATGACATCTGTCAAACGGTTTTTACCTTACCTTATTCCTAGCAACTTAATATATTAGTATATTAATAAAGTAGATAAAAAATAAAATGTCAAGTGCGAAGACCTAATATCGAGATTGGCTCTTGACTCCATTTTATATAGCAAAAACCCCATAAACCACCTACACGAAAACTAAGTTTTGGATGTTGGAATTATAAACTTTAATTAATATTTGGATATTCTGTTTTAAACAATTTAAAATATATTGGCATTTAATTAACAAATATTTTAAAAATTGTGTAATAGGTAATAGGTATAAAAAATATATTTTTTTGCAAAATTATAAAAAAAACTATTTTTCCTATTTTTTATAAATCCGGCAACCGTGCTTCGAAACGAGGGGGGTAAAGACACCGGAAGTGATTCATATCGTCCCTAGAATCCGATCCTTGCTGCATACCGGGGTTGTTCACCCCGCTGGCAACGTGCACTTGCTTGCAAATACCCTCCTTCGCCAAACCCTACTCCACTCTCTATTTTCTATTATTTTCTCCATTCACGTATAAACATGCTGATGTTGTTTTTCACGAACAGCCGTAGACGACTTGACTCTATTAATATCGATGGACAGTTCAATATTTGAAAATGCCAACTATCAATCAATCAATAAGGTCTGGATGACTAACAATCAATTAAAACTTACGACAAAAATGTACTTTCTACGTAATATTTATATTAATATAATGTTTAAATAATTAAAACCACGTAAGTATACAGGGTGTAACATAAAGGATGGGAAAAAATTAAACAGTGGATTTCTTTGTATTTTTTTTACTAAAAATATTTTTTTCTTATTTCATATTAATTTATTGTTTAAAAGTAATAGGGCGTTAAAACTATTAAGAAGAATATAAATTTTTGCTAAATATTGTTTTATTTAGTAAAGGTTTTTAATTATTATTCTGCAATTTTCTAAGACTAATCTTCATACTTTATTTTGTTTCTGTTACCTTCATTTACCTGTGTATACAAAGGCTGTGAAAAACCTGGTATTTACAAAAGGTACAATTAAGGAAAAATGAAAAGATAAACATAGAAAAGCAAGAGAAAATTTTTATTTAAAATACAAAGCATATTTTAAAAAATAAATGTAAAAAAATATTCCAGAATATTTTATTTTATGGATCCCTAAGGCAATATATATATGTGGGTGAAACTCAAGAAATGTCCCGCGATGGTGTTACCCCCTGATATTTAATAAAACTAAATGAGTTTGACCTACACTTTTATTGTGTTTTGATCTTTCATAATTAAGTAGATATTACAGATCAGGTTCCAGATTTTTAACCGCAATTAATTATTTTTTACAATGTTTTAAAAGTCTAAAACCTATCCTCCGTGACTGTTACTCTTTCTAGGTTAACCTATATGTTTTCAAATATCTGAGGTAGTAAAAGCATAATAATTTTAAATAAGCAAAAACCTTTGTTTACATTATAGATGCATGTGATTCCTGAAGGTCAGTTAGAATTTATATGCAGATGAGAGTGTTGCTGTTTTCTAATTCAAAAGTTTAAATTCATTAATTTGCTATTTAAAAACCTTTCCACCATGAAGTGCAATATCTCAGTAAGTAGATTTGTTTTTATAAATATTTTATGTACCTATGTACAATTGTATTTTTTAAAAATATTAAGGGGTCAAAAGATACAATAGCTTATTTAAAATATACAAAGGGATGTTTAAAAAAACATACGAAATCCTAACCTCCGTGAAGCTATCTTCCGTGAAGCTCTATATTCAAAATGTATGATTTCTTAAAAATCTTGCATTAGTGCAGAACCACTTATGTTATGTTATTACCAGACCTGGTGGCTTCCCAAAAACCCCATTCTGGACTAACAGTGAAACAACCAAAAATAAAAAATAATCATTTTCACTTTGGGGACATCTCAATATATTTACCCATGTATGTACCCCACTGAGTAACCTACTAATTTTTTATTTTATAGCTATGCTATGCTATGATTTTTTTCTTATCTTTTAGTGTTCGAAAATAAACTTGAAATCAAAAACAAGTTAAGCATAACTTCCAGGAACTTATTCCGACTTTTTTATTTGTGTTTGTCCCAATGTGTATTAGTCCTTCGGAAGGCAATATCCGTATGTACCCCACTGAGTAACCTACTAAGTCAATTTTTTATGTTAGAGCTATGCTATGCTATGATTTTTTTCTTATCTTTTAGTGTTCGAAAGAAAACTTGAAATCGAAAACAAGTAGAGCATAACTTCCAGAAACTTATGCCGATTTTTTTGAAGATTTTGCCGATGGTGGGTTCGAGTCCCACATTGCATTGGTATAGTGTTTTTAATTGTGTTTATCCTATTGTGTATTAGTCCTTCGGAGGGGACTTTAAGCCCGGGGTCTGTTCCTAACCCTAACCCGCACAGCCATTCAGTAGGCTTCTGGGACTTCTTAGAAAGTAAGGGTGGAACTAAAAGAGCACTTTTGTATATTATAAATCTAAAAGAATACGATTGATTGCATACTTTTTCATAATAAAATCTATTCCTCTGCTTATTACATTTTTAAAACTTAAGCTCAATTTAACAAACATAGTAAAATGTTTTTGTTAAAAATGTATGAAGGAATAATAAAATTTTACAAAATCATTAAACATGATAATAACGATTCGAAATTTTTCTCAAATCTTCATTATTTACTTTCCGTACTAAAAAAATTTACAGCCATATTTAAATTTACTTTAGCAGAATAAAAAATGAATTAAAAAAAAAGTCTTTTAAAAGTCAATACAAATTGTCTATTTATTGTTTAAAATTACTACAAAAAGATCTTACAATCTTTCCCGATTTTTCAAAAAAAACCGCGAATTTGCTGAATAATCCTTATGTCTTTCCAAAATAAATAAGTAGGTAATCTCTTTCATCTACAATATTCAAATCGATTAGCTGTTAGTCGGCCTTAGCTGCAGCTGCAGTCGGCAGCTAATAAAACTTGCAGACTAAATTCACAGAAAAATGTGTATCCAATTTTCGAAAAATGACGCTTTCTGATAACTTCATATTATTTTTATTACACATAAAAAAATCTAACATAGTACCAAGAACAGCGCTGTCATTGAATGCATTAAAATTGAACCAATCTAAAATGGTATTTGCTCAATTAATTACTATTAAACCAAAATAGGGAAAAATTTTGCCTAAATATCAAAGGATTTATTGCGTTAAATGTATATGTACATATATACATACTATAGTAACGTTATTAAATAAATCAAATTAGTATTTAATGCAATAACATTCTAACATAAAATGAAAATAAATATCAATATAAATATTTAGGAGCGATAACTTTTGTTGTTAATTTAAAAACAGTAAACGATTTTAAACCAAGTGCTAACTACCTATTGGTATTATAGGAACTGTTATTCAGGAATACGGATTACAAGATCCCATTTGTTTAATGGCTCACCCATTCATGCTATGCTAGCGTTTTTTCTGTGTAAGGATTCCACAATTTAACTTTTTCATAACCTTTGTGCTAACCTTGTATACTGGGTGTTCCGTTAATAATGGGACAAACATTAAGGATAGATTTCTGGAGTCAAAAAATGTTGTTTGTAAACATAATAGGAACATATCAAAATGGTTTTTTAAGAGAAAATATCAATACATACATTAAATGTTTCATTAATTTGTTTTTGGCCTCTTACCTTCGGTAGTAACCACCCTGGATCGCACAAGATCGGCCTTGTTCGCGACCAATATAACTGCTTTGGTACCAATGGAATCCAAAGTCCACAGGGTCTGCAATATTTTTTCAGCACACTGATGACTGTTTCTGTCAGCTGACGAGTACACCACGCAGTATGCGTGAGGGTCCTGGTATTTGCTTATGCAGCTTTCCGGCTAAAAATAAATGCTTTTTTTTTAAATTTTCCTTTCAAGTATGTTTAAAATTGGCGATATTTTTAATGTGAATGTGGCTCATCTGCTTTTGATGATTCTTTTTTAAATTTAGGTTGACTCTTCAGTTTTTATACCATACACCAAGGTGGACATTTTTAATTTATTTTTATTTTTATTAAACTGGGTGCATAAACAATAACAGCGGATATCAATTAAAATAATAATCTTTTTGGAACAGTTTGTTTTTTTATTCACGTTATTATCTCGGTTTAAAAAAAAATCATCAATATCGAATAAGCGGTTATCGAGGAAATCAACATTAAAATTGTGGCCATTTTCTGGTGACCATTTTTTTTTGCTGGTAAGTGTACATATTTTTTATGATTATTGTTAAATGTCCAGTTTAAAAAGTACTACAATAAATTTACTGCTAATCAGAGTGAACATTTTATAGTTTAATTATAAATTGGTAAGAGTGTATAATTCATCATGTTTAAGTCACGAAAAATGTGAAGTAGAGACATAGTAATAAAAATTAAATTTTTTCTACAAATGTATGTATTTAATGGATTTATTGAAACGAAACAGAATTATAATCAGTACAGGAGTAAATTCGTTAAGAAGATTATATTATTTGTAGTCCAGTAAGCCGTATCTTGTTTCAGCAGTTTCAATTTAAGCATAAAAAGGTTTTTAGGCGTTTTTTTTATTTGCAAATTTCCAATCCTTTTATCTATCGCTGATCTTAAAGTCAATTAAGTTATCAAAGGTATCAAAATTTCAGTAAAATTTAAAAGCAATCCGACCTAATTAAAACTTTCCACAACTCGATTGAAATTTCAAATGGAAAATACAAGTATTTTTTAACATGTACCTATACATAATATATTTGATCTATATTGCGTTCATAATGACTTCATTATAACACCGCTTTCCGTTCTGTAATGAGATACTTTTGGGTGAGAGGTTGGCTATAATTTAAACAGCATAATATTTTGCTTATTGGTAATAATATTTTTATAATTTTTCTAGTGCTTACGAGACTTTTCTGGCAATAAATTTTGTTTTACACCAAAGAAAATCCCTTTTTCTTCTTTAAAATTAACAGCCGCTTATTGTAAATAAGTAAATTAAGGACGGCATGGCGAATCGATTTTGACATTAACTGTCAAACCAATGACTGTGATACCAACTATCTAAAGTAAAATTCGACCAAATTAAATTTAAGGTATAAAATTAATTTTTTTATAGAATTTTTGCCAAATAGATAAAATAGCATAAAAAACTCATGTCATAAGACCTTTTGTCGCACTCGTCCATTAGAAAACTCGCTCTTTCGTCGCTCGTTTTATAAATTGTCCGCGTTCGACAAAATTACGTCTTATGACATTAATTCTTTAATATACTAATGTACATTGTTATAACTTTTTTAAAAAAGCTGTGTTTTAGACTTGGTAAAGTTTTACTACATGTACTATATGCATATAGAAAGGTCCAAAACCTATTTTTTCAGAATTTATTATAATGTTTTATCATTTCAGTAAAAAAAAATCATTGAAAATTGGCGGGAAAATTTTTTCAAAGCAATCGTTTGTTAAAGGGTGTTGAAATAATCATTTTCTTGTTCTATAAGATTATATACAAGTTTAATCAGTAATTTTATAATTAGAGTTCGAAAATTACCGGTCACATTGGGAATGTTACCGTCACTTATAAATACAAATTAGTGTTATTTTAAATAATAGCTCGTATTGGGAGCTTTTTAATGATAATAAATGCTTGTGGTTTTCTCAATGTTTTAATTTAGTTATAAATGTAAACGCGTTTTTTAATTAAATGTCTGGATAGGAAGCGTATAAATTTAGGTAAACCTATTAATTTATTTTGTTTTCCTGTTTTTAACATATTTTTGAAAAAATTATAATTGTAAATTGATTTTCTAAAAATGTTATATTTTTTAACCCTGCTCCTGTTACTTTTTGAATATTTTATGATTAAATTTTAATTTTGAGTGAAATGATAAAACGCGTATTATATAGTGACCGAAATGTACATAAAATATGTGAAAAAATACTTGTATTTTTAATTTGATTTGTTAATTAGGTGGAAACGTTTTAAAATTTCACTGAAGTTTTCTTTCAATACCTTAATTGATTTTCGGAAACTTAACCAACAAAAACTGCAATCTAGATTAGCTCGCTTAGTATACTATATATATATTAAAGACAATAAAAAACTAAACAAGCCAATCAGAGCACGCTATTTTTGTTGGTGTACTATTTTAAGCCACGAGTTTATCAAGATGGCGGCCTCCCTTGCGAGTTTATCAAAGGAAATAAAAAAGCGCTGGATCGCCCTTAAAGTATGAAAACGTTTGCATTTAATGTGGAGCAAAATGTTAAATCTAGTTATCTTAAATCATACGTATTTGGAATTTGGTTGTCTTCGTTTGTGTTTAATAATGTAATATATTTAAAATGTTATACAGTGTGACCCATTTCTTTGCGGTGAGTCGGGCCATTTCAAACATGCGGTAATTTATTAAATATATAATATTTTGGCATCAAAATTGTCAATAATATTCTTCTTTTATTACGACATACATTAAATACAAAAAAACGCAAGAAATATTTTATAAAAGTAGAGATAATTTTAATAATAATAGGTGTGGACAAGACAAGATAAATCTTTTTTTGTCCCGTCCACACCTTTTAATTAATAAAATTATTTCTATGAGTATGAGTATGGGGACGTATGTCAGGCCCCATCGATATCACCTTACACTAATCTCCCAGGGTTATTTTACCACCTTTCTGTTCTCCTACGTATCCCACACTGCACAGCATTACCTGTGTTTAATGGATCCGCATTTTTACGCCGGTTGGTAGATCTACCCTAGGAGATCGTGGATGACAATGTCGATGGTTAAGGCCACTCCCGGATTTTTGTCGCCGTGTCAGGCCAAACGTCCAGTTTAGGCTAATGGAGAGCGGGACAAGGAGGGTAAATGTTGGTTTTTGGAGGACATTGAACTGACCCAAAAGTACAATCCGGAATCCTCCTCAACCGGGGCTTTAGTAATAACCCCATTCAATTGGTATTCATGAATGGCAGTAGAAGTGTTAGTAAGCTGCTAGAACCTGTTCTTGTTGGTGTCTTTCTGAACGTCTCTGTCCGAGTTGGTTTCCGGTTCCTGGTAACCGCTTTAGAACTGCTTGCCCCCCCGTGAGATACTGAATCCTGTCTTCAGTACCGAAGTGTTGACAGCCGCGACCCGCCGTAAGTGCTCTCTGCCTTCGTGGATATTCAACCCCTCCTGCCGAGCACCGACTACCGACTATGTATCTTCTTTGATTATTATTGTTATTATTGTATTAACCGTTTACCATTTAAATTTAGTTTTTTGCATTCTTACTTTATTATCAATTTAATTTAAATTAATTTACAAACATTAATACACAAATAGATGAAGCCGGCCTTGTAGTGTACCGTACACTGTGTACGTTATTGAAATACGGCCCTATTGGCGGGCTTGGCATTTTAATTGAGAGGGTTGCCCCTTGTGTTTACGTACACAGAGAAAAGAAAAGAGAAAAGTAATCTCTTGATTTAAGAAAATGCATTTATTTGAAACAGGTTTTCTTGTATGAAGTAATATTTTCTTATTCGTAGTAACTTGTCATTTACAATAAGAAAATACTATTATTTGGATGTAAATCATAAGTTTCTTGAAAACAACTTATTGTTGTAATTAATTGTAAAGAAATATTTATTTAGAGCTACTAAACCTGAAATAAAAAGTCCACTAGATATTTACTTGTATTAACCAAATATCAGTTTAAAAAGTCAAATAAACCCAAGTTTTCCACTAAATAAATATCTTCTTGTAGATATCGAAATAAATAATTTATTTGAGCCAAGCCAAATATAGTAAAATCAAGAGATTACTTTTGTCTGTGTATTCTTTTCTTATTTAACCATTGTATTTTTTTTAATTTACTGCAGCATGCTTCTACCATTTGATTTTTTATACTCGAGAAGTTCTCGCAGTTTGTTTATTTAAGCAAAGATTTGAAAATAGTTTATTTACTTACATAAGATTTATGAGTTTATTAAGTACTACTTGAATCGTCTAATTTCAAAAGCGGCCATCTCCTTTGAAGAAAATTTTAAGTAAACGTCAAAAAAACATTCTAAACAGTAATGGGTAAAAAATAAATATATTTTGAAAAACTTGTTCATATGGTAACTAAAAATATTTTTTCTACAAAATAAGTAACCAGATTTAAGTTTTAATTAAAAAAACATATATTTCAAAAGTGAAATGGGCATTTTAAGTACATTTTTGTACTTAAAACATCAATGGAGATGGCCGTTATTAAAACTAACATAAAACTTTAATAAATTATTTTCCTTGCAAATAGCCGTTTTTGTTGGGATATAATTTTGCACTAACATACTACGTAATATTTCGATTTTATTAGTGTAAATAACTCATTAAAAAAAAAAATTGGAGATGGCCGCTTTTGAAATTAGACGATTCACTTGTCATGTCGTATACGACAGAGAGTACCTTCGAATTTGCTTTACTTTACTTTACTTTGGTCTATTTAATATTAACCCTGTTCAAATCTTTTATTATTTCTTGTTGATTCTAAGGATTTAACTTGGGATGGTATAAACACAACCGTAGACTCGGTGAATTCTTATTTACGAAATTAGTGACGTGCAATATTAAAAAACTTATCTGAATATCGCCTTCCAGGTTCTCTTCCAGGTTCATGCCGCGGTGAACAACCTGTTCAGGTGGGTGGATCCGTGACTCCGACAGGTGGGGTGGCAATTCACTTCACACTTTTAACTTTTAGATATATAGGTTTTAAATACACTGCTTATGCACTGTATACTTGTTTATAGTTCAGAGCGGAGAAACGCACGTGTGGCCCCTAGGAGCAATGAGGCAGTGAATTAATAAATAATTAATAAAATTATTTCTACTTTTATAAAATATTTCTTTCGTTTTTTTTTATTTAATGTATATCCTAACAAAAGAAGAATATTTTAATGCCAAAATATTATAAAATAAATTATATACAATTTTTTATGAAAACAATTTTGTAATTTGTTCGTTTCGCGCGCCCGAAATGTAAAATCTTTATTTATAGTGCGATTTTAACCGGATTTGTTTTAAAGTGTAAATCTTGATAAACTGTATTTATGAAGCAAAAAACTCCATATTTTTTACAAAGGCCTACTATGTCAGTTTTGGTGAGTTTATTTTTAAGAATCAATCAAGAATTCACCACAGCGATAGGGTACTAAATTTTATTGAAATTTTTTAATTAAGAACGATTTTGAAGCTAAATTAAAAATGGCCAATAATTACTATTTACAAAAATTTATTCTGTCAAGTTATCCATAAAAAAACATTGCAATAAAATTAAACTTAAATATTCTTATGCTTAGTTAAAACAAATAAAAAATGGAAACTTAAAACAACAATAAAACAAAAAAAATAGAGTATTCTAAAAATTATCTACAATTAGATTTTCTTTTAGTAAACCCTTTTTCACAAATTCCACAAGAAATTATACATTTAGGAAATTTAATAATAAATATTGTTTTAAATTTAAATATTTTCTTCGATAGGTAAAAATAATAAAATAAAAAATGATTTTTCCGGAGGTACTTTTTGTGTTATTGTATTGAAATTAATCTGAAATCGATGAATCGATTTTAAGCCATTATCCTTGATAAATGAATCCTTTATCTGACTTTGTTTACACACTTAAATGGAATTAATTATAGAGTAGGTAAGTGTCGGATTTTGCGCTTAAGGTTAAAAGATAATGCATTAATTAATTATGTTAAGGATCAAGTGTTCCCTTACAAACTAATTTAGTAGTTTTTATTTGTGTGCACACCATGGTTTTATCCATAATTATAATTATATTTTGTTCTATAAAAAGCTAAATTAAATTAAAGTCGAATTCATTTTATTATAAAAAGTTTAAAACAGATACGCCTTGAAATATTTAAAATAAAATGTAAGGATAAAAGTAATTTATTTTTAACGTTTTCCTAAGCGAACGAGAATAATTTAACATGTACAATTGCGCTTAACAATAAAATTTTGTTTTAATTTAGAACAAATGTTAAATGTGATGGGCTTTTAACTGAATAAAACGAACGGTTTTTCTTTTAATCAGAACTAAATGAACATTGCTAAAATGTCGCGTTAAACTAGGTTATCCTTTAATCAAAATATTTATGATTATAATCATAACATTGTATGTTGTTTACAGATTTTTATGTACTAAGTGTTTTTAAATAAAATCTTTCTTAATATATATCAAAATAATAATAAAAAATCCAATTTGCAGGTATTTAGAGAACAACGGGTATATTTTTAAATATTTAGAAAGAGTTTTGGTTTCCTATTTTGTATTGTACAGACAATAAACGAAACAGGATTTTAGAAATTATTTTTGATATATTTGACCTTGTGTTATCGAAAAATGCTTTTAAATGGAGTAAGAGCTCTTAAAAGCGCGAGGAAATTTCTCGAAATTCCTTGACCAATAGTCGCACAAAATATTTGGTTCAACTAACCCAAGTAATTGAAAGTTAATTTTATTTCATAGTTTATTTGGCATCTGACAAATGTCAAGAAGTTTTAACCTCTTTTTTTGGATTTTAACATAAAGCTAACTTCAGCCCGTTTGAAAAAATGCAAAAATGATATTTTCTTACTACCTCGACTCAAAATACGTTGTTTCGTCCCCGATTTCACGGCAGAAAGTTTACGTTTCTTGCATTGGTCAAGCTATACGCGCACACTCTAAGTAAAAATTTTTTAGTCGTGTGCTTAACATTCAAATTTCGTACTGCCAACATGAGAAACACAAAAATATGACAGATTTAAACCATAATTTTGCAATTATAACAACAAATAAACAATTTATGTTTTTACTTTTTTACTTTTTATGTTGTTTTAAGTATTTAATGGTACTTTTATTTCTAATAAAGTAGTAATTTGTTAATTAAAATACAATATTTTATTTTTACTGTATTGGCACCGCTGAATTACCATGACAACGCTACAGTTTGATTGATTTTGAATGTAAACGTCAGAATTAAATTAAACATCAGATTTTAATTTTGACACAAGTTTTTTTATATACATTTAATTTTTTCCCGTATTTTCTGCGGGGTAGCAAGAAAAATAGTATACACTACACGGGCAGAAAGTGTGAGAGCCCTGAACTGCGCGCCATGATGCTCTCGGCTTCGCCTCGGGCATCATGGCGCGCAGTGCAGGAATCTCACACTTTCTGCCCTTGTAGTGTAATATACTATTACCAAAATCCTAGCTGCTCCTCTTTTCGAAATTTTTTGAAAATTCATGATTTTTTTAAAATTTTTGTTTATCTTAAAGTCTACCTTTGACAGAGTACTCTGTCAAAGGTAGACTTTAAGATAAATAAAAATTTGTTTTGTGTACAAATGTGTACTTACACATTAAATGTGTAAGTACACCAATTTTTATACTATTTGAGTATATTGTTTAGGAGATTTGGAGAATACTTTTTTTTGGCTCACCCTGTATATATCAAATGATGTGAACAGTATTAAAAAGTATTCTTTAAGTCTCCTCAATAATATACTCTAATTTTATAAAAATCGGTGTACAAATGTGTACTCTATCAAAGGTAGACTTTGAAATAAACAAAAATTTAAAAATAAAATCATGAATTTTTAAAAAATTTCGAAAAGAGGAGCAGCTAGGATTTTGGTAAATATCATTTTTAAGTCACCAAAGGGTCCCGAACAAGAAACTGCAATCAGTTTTTGGCGGCATTTTTATGTGACTTAAACTTCGTTCAGGCACACCGTGATTATTTCAATAAAACGATTTTTTAAACTATACAAAAAATTGTATAATATATTTTTTCTTACCGACAGATCTGCTGTGGCGAAATCTATAAACGTCAGTTCGGATTCTTCGCCGGCAAGTAATACTGATACGGATTTCTCTCCACTTTCATCATCTGAAATAAAAATAATGAAATAAAATCAAAGGGGCGAAAGCGGAGGAAGGAAGGAAATCAATGGAAAAATATCCCTTGGAGCGAATACGTATCCACAATGGATGCGAGTCAGTGGGTAAGTGTATCATACTTTCAAGTCTTTGGGGAGCTTTTCCGTTTTGGAAAGTCGGTCGCTATTTATCCGCTTTGATACGATAATTAAAGATTTATTTTTTGTTTTGTAAAATTTTATAAAATTATTTTAAGAGCTTAAAAAAATTAAATAAACATTTAAACAATCGTAAACAACTTATTTCCAGTATTATTGCATACAGAGTAAAAATTATTTGTTAATTTTAACCAAATATTAACCGGATATTATGTTAATCCAGGTCCACTTAACTTTATGTTAAGTTTACAAACGACTAATTGAATAAGTAGTTTGTTATTATAACAAACATTTTGTAGATTAATTAAAAAAATGCTGTCAATAATTCAACTATAATTCTTTTAATTTTCAAAAAGGACATTTTTTTTAAACTTTTTTGTGGACCCAGTATACTGCTATAACAAAAGTATTTGTTGGAAATAGGGAACTTAAATAAAAATTTTGGACTATATAACTCTATTATTTCAGGGAATTTTGAGAAAAAGTAAGTTTTATATGTAAACATCCACATTTATTTACATTTTTATCCATTTTTTAATTTTTTTCGTCTACTGTTTTCCAATGGCAGCCATATTAATATTTTACATGGTTACACTGTTTAAAATATCTGTGGTGTAAAGAGTAATCTTAAAATGGTGTCAAAATCCAACACCAAGTGGTGTTAATATAACACCATGAATTATGGTTGAAAATGTTATATACAGCAAACACCAAAACGGTGTTTATCTAAAAATATTTGAGAAGTGCACCTACACAGAAAAAAAGAAATAGTTCATTTAACTATATTAATTTGGTTGACCCATAATTATTTATTTTTGTATTTTTTTTATTTTTATCAACTGTGGGAAAGTTAATATAAACAAAGATTAGTCTGACGGTACTAAACCAGATAGTTAATTTTTTTTTTAATTGGTTAAATTAACCCAGAAAACTTTACTAAATATGTTGTTTGTAAAATAAGAGTTACTTTAACCTAAAGCACTCTGTTAAAACAATTTGCCGTGCATTCCCGGTTGCATAGTGTGTACCGATCGCGGCAAAGGCAGTGTGGATCACGTGATGTTCTTAAATCTCGCATCTGTTGACTAACATGAAGAATATATAAGCTCAGGTAGTCCTTTTCTTTGGTGTGACACTACAAGTTGTTCGATACTTTAAATAGGTGGAAACAGCTGTCAATACTTGAAATATTTTAAGTTAGTGGAACGCACTAAAAACATTATCTCTAGCGAGTTGAAGTTTCCATTTTCTGGAATAATACCACTGGTAATATACTAGTAATGCGTCAAAGAACTTCCTGTTTCCTTTTTTTTCCTTTTATCTGTGTAGTTTGATTTAATTTGCCAAACACATAATATTTTACACTGAAAAGGAGTTCAATTTACACCAGGTAAAATTTATTTTAATACTGTCTGAAAGTTAAATTAACACTATTTTAGTATTTGAAGTTATACCGGATCAACGAACAATATTTAACACCATTTTGGTTTGTATCGATATAGACCATGTATGGTGTTAAAATGGTCATGAAATTTTGAACAGTGTATATAAAAAAAATCAAGGAATCCAACGATGTATTAAGCTACATAAATTATGGCGTCCATTATAAAAACAAAAGATGGTGATGCCAACTTAAAAAATACATAGTAACAAAGAAATTGGAAAATGTAGATTAATGTCTATGTTTACATATCGACCCATGCAACGAAGACTATTGTAACTCAGTTTTGATTGTAGACTAGAGTAACTCAACTTAATATAGTTTTCGCCTGTATAGTAAGTGTAATAATCCACATTCCTATAGGAATGTGGATTATAACACTTACTATACAGGGAAGTTGTTCACTGGTTGCCTATCATTTCATGTCTGAGTTACTGTAATCTTCCACCAAATAGAGCTTGAAAAAATTTGTCGATGCCATATAGTAAGTCAAAATCCACGTTTTTTGAGTTACTATAGTCTTCGTTGCATGGGTCGATATGTAAAACCACCTTTTTTCAAAATTCACAGAAATATCAAAGTTTTAACGATTTTTGGTTTTGAAAGGTTTTTAGTTTTTTTTTCAACCATTTTGAGATCCGCTGGTAATTTTTCAATCTACAAATTTAATGTCAATAGGCTTGTAATTACGCAATTTTTCTCTAATTTAACCGACCTAGTAGCTCTTCAATAATAGAAGTATACTTGGTGCACCCGGTACATTGCATTTTAATATTTTATATAATTGTTTATTTTTAAGTAATTTATAAAAAAAATATATCTAATCTGCTTCGAATTTTGAATTAAAAAAATACATTTTGAACATTTGCGAATAACACATTTTGTTTAAAAAAAGACGCAAATCCAAAATGGAATTAGGCGGGTGGTCCGTTTGAGAAATGTCTCCCTCAAATGTCAAGTTTTATAGAATTAGGTAAAATCAAAAACTCATCAATCATTATTTAGCAGATACATAAACTTTACAACAATAAAAACTTAAAACTAAAGTATACGTTCCCTTAACCCTTTGTTTGTTTTTACAATTTCTATTGTTTGCATTACTCGCACTTAAAATCGAAACACTCATTTATCAATATGATTAATTATGGCATGATCCTTCTCTGGAAACTAAAGGATCTGACAGACTGCTAAGTAGAAAACAAAGGACACGAATTTGTATTGTTTCTCTCTTAGAAAATATCCTTACAGTTTAGGCGAAAATTGGTGTATCGTGTACATTATTATAGGATAAGGACAAATTTATGGGAGGGTTGGGCTATAAATATGTGTTTTACATTTTATTGTAATATTTTAGTGGTTATTACAAGAATATTGTAGTTCCAAACTTTTAGTTTATTGTATAATATTATATTATACAATAAACTAAAAGTTTGGAACTCCCACTTGGGGCTCCCACTTGTCATAAAATCATAAAAAGTCATAAAATTTTGAAATCTGTCATAAAACGTCATAAAATTAAGATTTTGTCATAAAAATCATAAAAAATACCAATTTGGTCATAATGACACAAAAACCATTAAGAAGAAGCACAATACACAGATGGTTATTAATTTTCATTTTAAAAACCCCGCGGTTCTCGATAGCGAACGCCATCCTGCCGCTCCTGCTTTTTCGTAGTTGTGCGGCACAACTTGTGCCGCTCACATTTTCTAAGGGTTTGAAAATATTCTCGTTAAAAATAATAGTCCATGTTCTGTGGAAACAGGGAAGAAGAAGAAGAACTATGAGATGTCGACCAAATATCCTAAATGTAATGCAGGTCCTAAAATACGTAAATATTTGATAATAAACCACTTATATGCTATTTTTTTTGTCACGTTTTTGTTTTGAAATTGTAACCGTAAGTAAAATATTCTTTATTTTGAGGTTAGGTGAAGCATTTTATATTTTAATTCAGGTACAATTACTAAAATGGGGACAGCTCGGCAAACGCATTACAATCAAGCCTGGGAAAATACTGAAGAAGCCCGGGGCTGGTTATCAGCAGACCCAGTTAGTCAATTTTCAGCCTTTTGTAAATATTGCTCCAAAAACTTTAAAATCTCGGGGAGTGGAATATCCCAGGTTCGTAGTCATGCCAAATCTACTACACATATAAACAATGCAAACCTGCGACTAAATTTGGGAAATCAGAGAACATTTCAACGAGATCGTGATGGAAATGTAGAGCTAGAAAGAGGTAATTTTATTTTAACCAGAGAAGAAAAGACTGTGAAGGCAGAAATATTATGGGCTCTCAAATGCTGCTACTCAAATTTTTCATTTCAAAGCAATAACAATAACAATCAGTTATTTGCAGCCATGTTCTTAGATTCAGAGATTGCAACTAATTTTAAAATGTGTGAAACCAAAATTAAATATTTGATTCAGTATGGCATCGCTCCATTTCTGAGGGATTGTTTAATTGAAGACTGTCTGAAGACCCCATTTGTTTTCTTTTTTGATGAAACTACTACTAGTCAAGTAAAAAAACAGTACGACGCTTATGTGCAATATTATTCTAAAAAAAAGGTGTAGTTAATGGCTATATTCACTCTTTATACTTGGGTCATTGCACATCCGAGGATCTCAGAGTACATTTGTTTGAAATTTTTAAAATTGTAAAACTGGATGTTAATTACTTACTGCAAATAAGTATGGATGGCCCATCCAAAATTTGTCATTTCATAAAAAACTGGAAAAAGACTTGAAAGATAATTACAACAAAAAAATAATTAATATAGGTACTTGTAGTCTCCATAAAATGCATACAGCGTTTAGAAATGGATTGGAAAAAGTAGATTTCAATTTTGACGAGTTTGCCCAAGATTGCCATTTTTTTTTTAAATACAGCTCTGGCAGAAGAGCAGACTACAGTTTAACCTCTACGTTTACTGGTGTGGAGGTAGAGAATATTTTAAAGCACACCTCGAGTCGCTGGCTCAGCTTAAAAGGTGTCTTGACTCGTATTGCGGACCAGTGGAAGAATTTAATAAAATATTTTTTAGAAGACATACCAAAACAAAAAGGCTTCAAAAATCAAGTGGAAAATAATCAACGTTACCAAAGATTAATAAGGGTTTTAAAGGACCCAAGATCTCAGATCTATATTTCTTTTGCTATATATATGGCCGAGTGCATAGATTTCTTCTTGATTCGTTTTCAATCTACTGAGCCACGGATTCATTTGCTATATTGTTCCTGGACAGAATTACTATGCACCTTTATGTCAAAATTTATAAAGAAATCAGAACTAACTGATGATCATAAAGCTGACGCAAAAGCAATGTCTGGAATTGATGTCAACCAAAACAAGAAATTGGTGTTAATGCAAAAAGATTATTTACGAGCTCAAATATTGATGGTCAAACT